AGATGACGGACAACAACGAGGGCGTACAAACGACGGACAATGACAATGAGATGACGAGGGAGTACAAACAACGGACGGCGACGACGAAAACACGCTGAGCGCCCACTACCCACACCCGGCGACGAGGCTCAATACTCCATACTCACTGCCCACCACCCTCACTCTCTCTCACTGCCCACCACCCCCTCTACCTCACTGCCCACCACCCTCACCCCCTCCAGCCCTGCCTACCACTCCTCCCCCCCTCCCTCATTGCCTACCACTCCCTTCACCACTCCCTCATTGCCTGCCAACCTCCTTCCCCCCCTCCCTCATTGCCTACCACCCACCTCCTTCCCCCCTCCTCCCCCCTTTGCCTACCACCCCTCCTCTCATTGCCCACCACCCTCACCCTTCTTCCTCACTGCCTACCACCTCCCTCAGTCCCTCTTCCCTTTATTTAATATTTAATGTAGTAATGTAAATATATTAGTTATATTGAATAAAATGGACCTTTCTCTTCTGAATAAAATTTCTCTCTTAAGAATATATCTTGTTCATTCAATATCTTGTTGGAAATATATCCTTGTTCAAGATATATATATCCTGGTTCAAGATATAGCTTAAGAATATATCTTAGAAATATATACTGGTTCAATATCTTGTTGAAAATATATCCTGGTTCAAGATATAGTTGAAAGATATATCTTGGTTCAAGATATAGCTTAAGAATATATCTTGGTAATATATCCTGGGTCAGGATATAATTGAAATATATGTATTGTGAATATATCCTGGTTCAGGATATGGTTTAAAAATAGATCTGGGTTGAGAATGTAGCAGGAAAATGCAAGATATACTGCAAAATAATGTATCTTGATTCAGGATATTGTTGATAAATATGTCTTGGTTCAGCATCTAATTAAAATATTTATGATATTGTTCAGAAATTATGTATCTGGATTCATGATAGGGTTGAAAAAATAGATCTTGGTTCAGGATTTAGTGGAAAGATATGTGTGACCCCATATTATGACATGGTGAACAGAATTTGTCAGAGGAGAATGGAATTTCTTGTCCATAAATTTACAATCAAGAGTCAAGAGAAAGAGGGAGGGAGGGAGGGAGAGGAGGAGAGGGAGAGAGGGAGAGAGGAAGAGAAGGACAGAAACAACAAAGAACTTGGTGAACTCTTGTCTGTGAAAGTGGGTTGGGAGAGATGTTTGATATCACATGTGGGGGTTTGACTAATACAGATGTTGGTGGGGTATGCAGATAAGGTGCAACTGGAGAGAGAAACAACAAAGAACTTTGTGAACTCTTATTTTTTAAAGTGGATTGGGAGAGATATTTGATATCACATGCAGGGGGTTGACTGGCAGGGGATGGTGAGACAAATGTTGGTGGGGTATGCAGATAAGGTGCAACCAGAGATGTTGAAGCTTGAAGTGACTGGTGCCAAACATCTTGCAGGCGCAATATTTCGCATATAGATTTGACAGCTTGGTCTGGCATAGGCGCCATGTGGTGAGAAAAACAGAATCATACAGAAACAGCAGAGTAGACTCACCAACCAAGTTGAGTATGCAGATAAGGTGCAAGTGGAGATCTCTGAGATGAAGTAGAGGCAGAGGTGGAGGGGATTGTATTATAAGGCTGCCCAAAGTACTTTGTGAACTCCGAGCAGCTAAAAAATTCTATAACGTGAAGTGGATAATACTTAAGCAACACAGGAACCTTGTGCTCACAGATGTCATTGATGGTAAAATTTGTTAAAGGAGAATGGAATTTGTTGTCCATAAATTTACAATCAACAGCCAAGAGAAAGAGAGAGGGAGGGAGGGACAGGAGGAGGGGGAGAGGGGAAGAGAGGAACAACAAAGTACTTTGTGAGCTCTGAGCAGCTCAAAGAATCTGTAATGTGAACAGTATTCATAGTATCATTGGAAGGGATAATACTTCAGCAACTCAGGTAGATCACAGATGCTATTGATGCCCCTTATTGTTATCTATATACTGGGAGGACAAGCCAGACATAGTGCCAAAACCCCTGGAAGTCAATGCAGAATCTTCCAGAATATATACCCCAGACAGCAAAAAAATCACAAGTTTTTTGCTGAAACTAGGACCCCTGACACCTCTACAGACCAGAAAAATATATCCTTACCACATCTGTTTCACAAAATATATCCTAAGGCCAAGCCAGGGCAAAAATATATTTCTAAGGTGTGACAGTGACATTTCAGGGTCCACTCACCAAAAATATATCCTTACTGCATTTTACTTGCAAAATATATTTTGGTGGTGTGACACAGACATTATAATTTTTGTGTGACATTTCAGGGTCCATGTCTCAAAAATATATTTTAGATTTCAGGGCTTTCTATGACCCAAATATATATAGAATATAAATATGGTCTATGACATTTAGTCATGTAACATACATGGAGTTTGCATGACTAATAGTCAGTTGGCACTGGGTGACTGAAGTGTATCTTCCTTGGGGCGGGCTTCATTATGATAGTATATACATAGATAAAATAGTATTATAATTTCTAACATCTTTTCAATGTTGCAACTTCTAAGTATATGTAGGTAAAAGAGTAAATACCAAAGTCAAAGATGCATTTCCGAAGTGAAAGTTGACCATAAAGTGGAAATAGTTACTCAAAGTCCCTGACATCAAAGTCTAGGTTACCAAAGTGCAATGGGACGTTTTCCTGCCAGATGTATTTTGAATACCTACACATACCTACAAAGATTGCTGCCACCACTCGCCACCTACATAGACCTACAGAGGCTATGCTACCTCCATAGAACTGTGTGATCTATGGAAATATACCAGTTTCCTGAAGTGCAGCCAGCAAGGTCTGCCATCTCTTGTGGATGCCTCCCCTTGTCGCGCCAAGCCAGGATGCGCTGACACACACTTTCTGAGATTTGGGGTGCCATTCGAGGGATGGTTCACAATGTGTTACTGATTACAATATGTACTGTCATTGAAGCGCACCACGTGACTACCGTGAGGTCAAGCCTCAAGGTGTCCCAAAAGTTTCCGAAAATGGGTGAGTGTGACATTCTCGGATGCTATTCAAACAAGACCAAATATATTTTCAAAAAATCGTTGTGCAAACCATTATGCAAACGACTGTAGCACGCAAGGGGCAACCACCCGAGCTAGTGATGTGCTGGGCCCGGCCCAAAGCCGTAAGCCAGCCAGGGCCAGCCATCCCGAAGCCAGGCCTTGTTGGGCCGTCATCGAGGCTTAGGAAAGCCCAAAGCTCAGGCTCATGAAGCTGGAAGCCTTGAGCCGCGGCCTGAGCCACGGCTCTTGTGGCTGATTGATTTTCAAATATTATCTGCATTTGGATAGAAACTGTACAGTCATCCATTCATATATATATATATATTCTATTTTTCTCTATCAGGTATACCACAACAAACCTCTTTATGGCTACACATCGCACGGCTCGTCCCACGCAGAAGCTTGTTGACCCGGAAAATGCTGAAAAGCCGATCCTTTCTTCACATCGCGAGAATATTGCTACTGGGCGTGCAAATGCAGCTGCCAAGGGTTCAAATGGTACGTCGCTTTTTGCTATCTAATTAGTAATTACTATCTAATCT